ACCCCCCCCAAAAAAAAATTAATATGAGACCTTCCTATAGGGTATTTTATTGTCAATTGTTTCTGAGCTAAATACATATATAACTTTTCAAATATTGATACAATGATTGCTTGGATTCTTCCAAAAATGTCTATTTACATGTCTGTATCATTTTGTTGCTGGCATAGATTTTTTTCTGCCCCAAAACTTGTCAAACTAAGCTGTATGATAGGAAAATAACTGTTTTAATGGAATAATAATAGATGTATGAATGAAAAAAAAAAAAAATTCAAAATTCTCATCTGAACAAAAATATAGCTAATACTGAAAACTGCAATAAAAGCTTGAAACTATTTGACATCAAAACTAACTTAATTTCAAGTTAAAAAAACAAGTTGGTAAACTGTAATAATAGCATTCAAGATGGATTCATCAAAATCCTTTTTTTTTCACCTATCTCATAAGCTTAAAGAACAAAATTCATAAGACAGACTAAAAAATGTACAAACTAGATAAATTGTGAGATCAAATAAGAATGACTGGTAACAAGTTTAAGATTTAAAAAAAAAAAGACAGGACTGGCTCCAGTTAAGACAATCCTATGATTAACTATGGAATGAATTAATGTTGGCAGTAATGGAGACTGGCACCTTAAAAGACTTTGGTGTAGGGAGGTCAACAATTTTCTAAAGAATAGGGGGAGGGGAGTAATTTTTACTTTATTTTTTTCCCCTAAGAGAACCTTGATGTACCAACTGGTTACTTACTGTTTTGTATATTATAATGATTACACTGGGTTAAAACAAAACAAAATAATGAAACCCCAGATCAAGACTTAAAAAAATAAAAATAAACTCAATACCTGTGGCCATATTGTTCAGTAATGTTTACATTTTTACACGTAGAAAATAAGGCAAGAATAATAAGAGAGCACATTCTACAGAAAAGCAGAACCACTAAATTCTTAGTTTGACAAGCTAACCAAACATTATTCAATTTTAAGAATAAAATTGCAACACTCTTTAAAAGAAATTTCAAAAATTCATAAGTAACTCATGTATACATTTTGCAAGGTTAAAACTACTATTAATGAGTTCACAGGAATGTCTTTCACACAACAAATTTCTTTACAACTTGACCTTAAACTACTATTAATGAGTTCACAGGAATGTCTTTCACACAACAAATTTCTTTACAACTTGACCTTAAACTACTATTAATGAGTTCACGGGAATGCCTTTCACACATCAAATTTCTTTACAACTTTATCTCAAACGACCATTAATGAGTTCACGGGAATGCCTTTCACACATCAGATTTCTTTACAACTTTACCTTAAACGACTATTAAGGAATTCACAGGAATGCCTTTCACACGTCAGATTTCTTTACAACTTGACCTTAAACTACTATTAATGAGTTCACAGAAATGCCTTTCACACATCAGATTTCTTTACAACTTGACCTTCACTCTATTTTGACATAGCACACAGCTAGGAATGGTTTGTGTAGTTTGTATAAGTTACTTTTTGTTGGATAGGTACACAGATGCAATTGGCTACTGTTAATTTATTTTGATGTTTCAACGGGTGATCCGAGTAGGATGAATAACATCTTTCATGATGTTTTTTCTTACGTCCTTAAACCAAGCATTATTATCATATTCCTTCTTTACAACTTTACTAACACATTAACATAATTTCTATGTGAAGGAAATCAAAATTAAATACAATACTCTAAGAACTGAATAGAATTTGTATAAATTTAAAATAATAATGATGACTTCTTTATTTTAAAAACAAAAAAATACAATCAAGCATCAAAACACTAACTACCACTTTAGCTTCAACAAAATAATACATTAATAACTTTTAATATCACACATAAAACTATTTATTACATGTCACAAATATTACCCCAATCGATTGTAGCCTATTACAAGTGAAGTCACTTATCTAAAAGTGCATATGATATGCTTTAACATGGAATTAACAGTTATTACAGAACATTACATTTTTAAACTGTAAAGAATGAGAACATCTTAGTGGTGACGATAAAAAAACACTTTATGATTTAATTGTTTAAATTTGTTCAGGTTCAAAAAATCAATTCAAGACAAAAATTCATCTGGAATATTCTTAATAATAAATAAGATTCCAAATATAATTGTTACTAACGTTTATTATTACTCAAACAATATAATGTATAACTTAGAAACTGAAGTATTCTTAATTTTATTTCAGTTGGGTTAAAAAAAAAAAAGTGGAAAATTAATACTCTTATATTTTAAAGTTAACTACACAAATAACTGTAAAATATAAAAGTACATATAATATAAACTACAATAAATTAACTAATTAGTGCCTAGTTTCCATAATAAGTGAAACTAAATAGAAAGTTTGTAAAGTCCAAGTTGGAATTACGGCAAAGAACTTTTTTTTTCTTTCATTTTCAGACAATTGTCTTACTAATGTTAATAATACTATATAGTCGTATGTAGCCAAATTTATACAATTACATAATTATGATGTTGGCCTTGTACCAGTAAGACTACTAATTTAGTCTTATTACTAGTGGTAGTATTAACATTCTGATACTACATAATCACCGTGGTACTACTACTACTAGTAGCAAAATTAAAAACATCTCGCAGTTGTGAGTCTATTTACTAGTACTAGAGTATACAACTTGTTTTTGATTTTCAAAACAAAATTATCTGTCAAGCGTATATAGAACACAAATTATTCAAATAACCAAATTGAAAGAACTATCATAGTCACTAAATTATCTACTGATCGAAACTACAAGCGCTTCTCACCTTCCAAGTTCCACAATAAATTTTATCATCCGCCATACTTGTTGTTGAACAATATCAGCTGAGCATGCGCCCTGAGGCAGAGCCTATTGTATACTAGATGACCCTACCGCTGCGATCCTGGCTACGGTTTTTAGGTTATTGTTATGTCCGTAATATCATTTAATAACATTTCTGTTGTGAAACCTTTATCTTTAGGTTGAATTATAGTTAATAGACTAAAAAGTATTGTGTTTATTGAATTAACATTGTCAATATCTTCTTTAGAAAAATAATACCTCAGCTCCGAGAATAATGGCACTATTTTTAAACGTTTTTTGGGATATCACGCTACTAATTACTGACATGAGAATTGTTATTGCCTTTGTTTTTTTGTTTGGTATTAAGCACAAAGCCACACAATAGGCTATTGGTGCTGTCCCCAAACACCACGGGTATCGAAACCCGGTTTTCAGCTTTATCAAACCTCAGCCTTACCTAGGGCCGGATTAAGATATAAGCTAACTAAGCTACAGCTTATGGCCTCACAATCTATGGGCCTCTTAGCTGCCTCTAAAAAAATGACCTCATTCCAATTTTTATATCGTATAGGGCCTTAAAATGTCATAATCCGGTACTGTTACCGCTGAGCCACTGGGGGCTTTTATTATCGAGTAGCTATTTTTACTAGAACAATTTAAAGTTAAAACGTCTACTGAATGAGAAGCTTCGGAACCGGGGGTGCTGTAGTATCACACTTTTACGTATTTGATATATGTTATTATATTAATATTCCGGGGGCATGCCCTCAAACATTGAGCTGTCTTGGGCAGCATGGGAGCCGCTTTTAGAAGCTCCTTATACTTTCAACCTCTCATTGTAAAATCAGCATGTCTAGCCTAGCACCTCCATTTTGCAATTCCTTCCTACACCACTGTGAATAAAATTCTAGAGGTTGTCCAATATATATATAATTAACAATAAGTGTTGAGAATTAGCAGGATGGTAGGGTTTTGGTAGTGAATATACATACATAAGTATTACCATTTGTAATAAGAACTAAAAAGAAGATACATTTATACCGTTCCAACCATTTGATCATCTATTACAAAATCTGTTCAAAATCACTCAAAAGAAGTAAAAATTATTTTGCTACAAAATGATAGAAGTTTTTACAGATCTTCGACAATGGTGAACAATGTATTTCTGTTGTATAAAAATGTGTTTGATTAAAATATGCAGATATTCAATGTGTCTTTAGAATTATTTTGTAACTTTAAAAACAAATGTGCGATCTTATTAAGGTTTTGCGTGTTGCGTGAGGAGGATGCTACTGCTTTACAAAATATTTTGATTATGTGGCGAGTTAGGTGGCTTTTGGTTATAATAAATCCAAGGTAATGCACAATTTGAATTATCAGTATAATTTGGATGGGAATAACTTTATTAGTGTTATGAAAGAAAAATACTTGGTGTTCTCGTAAGCCATCCAAACAACGTGTTGTTGCTAGTGTGAGGGCAAATAGGATTTTAGGTTGTATCTACAGAAATACTGAATACAAGCCAAAGAGATTATAATATCATTGTATAGGTATTGGTTAGACCACATCAGTCTTGAGCTCCTTACCTTAGAAAGGACATTGAATTGATGAAAATGATTCAAAGGATGACTACTAGGATGATACCTGGGATGGAAAGGTTGTCATATGAGGGCGGGTTAAGATCTCTGAAACTGTTTTCTCTTGAAAAGAAAAGAAGAATAAGAGGGGATCTGACTGAGGTGTTTAAGATTTTTAATGGAATAGATAGTGTTGATGAACCCTCTTTTTTGCACTTAATGATGAGAATGGTAAGACTAGGGGACACAAATATAAATTTTAGTAGGTAAGATCCATCATCAGCTGAGACAACTTTATTTTTCTAACACAGTGGTCGGCCTTTGGAATGGATTACCTTTAGATATGGTGAACATAGTTAATTTGTGGAAAGGATTGATAAACACTTGGATGATAACGGCTAACTATGGGTGTTTTATTTTAATATTTAGTTTTGTGGATTGGATGGTCTAGCTCAATCAATAGGTCCTTGTTGTTCTTAAATTATATATTTATAATGAAACGAATAAATGTATTATGTAGTCAAAACTATCCGTATATTAGCAGTGTACGATTGTTCTTATTGTTTTAATTAGTGTGAAACAATACAGTGGATTACCTGCGGTCTGTTCACTTCTGGAAACCGAATCCCAAATTTTAATGTCGTAAATCTGTAAACAAACTGCTGACTCACCGAGGGCGCGCTGTACGACTTATACTTTCCACCAAAACTTGACAAAAAATACATTTTATTTTAATAACAAGTTGATGATGGCTTAATGAATAAATGCCATAACTGTATACACGTAACTATGAAGATTATGATTATTCAAGAACGTTGGACTCTGTAAATAATTAATAAATGAACACGCTTTGTGAGAAATAAGGCCCTTCAACCATTGTTTCGATATTTTAGCATTTCTAAATTGTTTGTCCATCTCTCCTTCACAATTAATCCCTTGGTGTGTGTCAGCGGTAAGTTTATGGACTCATAAGGCTAAAATACGGAGTTCGATTCCCCACAGTAGACAGAGCGCAGGTAATCCATTGTGAAACTTTGCGCTAAAACACCAACATCAACAACTCATCACAATCAATATTCATGAGTATCACGTTACATCCAAGTGAATAATTCTGATGTCATATATTCCCTGTGCATCCATATATATACATAGTTTAAATGACGATAAGCTTTATTGTTAAGTTTCAGCAACTTTCAAGTAAAAGTAAATAAATTTGTAAAAATAAATTACTTCTGTTGTTTACACATATACAAAATTTAAACGTTAAAAGAGTTCTTGAAAATATGTCAAAATTGAAATAACTGGTGGGCCGAGCATGACCTAATGGCTAGTGTGTCGGACTATGAATCTATCTGTTCATCATTTGCGTCCTGTTACAATAAAAAAAACAAAAAAACACTAAATTCCACACTTTGGGTAAGGGGTTTGTATAAAAATGATGATCAAATCCAGCTTTAATGAAAGATAAATTTAAAATCGATCATATATAAATTTTGTTTTGTAACGTTTAAACCAAAGCAATACAACATGTGTAAATAACAATAAAATTGTAAAATCAACTCTTTCTTTATGTACTTTAGGTAAACCCATATAAAATACCTGTGTGTGTGATCCAGTCGGTCTTATTAGACATCTTTTTCTTTGTGTACTTGAAGTAAACCCATATAAAATACCTGTGTGTGTGATCCAGTCGGTCTTATTAGACATCTTTTTCTTTATGTACTTTAGGTAAACCCATATAAAATACCTGTGTGTGTGACCCAGTCGGTCTTATTAGACATCTTTTTCTTTATGTACTTGAAGTAAACCCATATAAAATAACTGTGTGTGTGATCCAGTCGGTCTTATTAGACATATTTCCTTGTATACTTGAGGTAAACCCATATAAAATACCCGTGTGTGTGATCCAATCGG